AACTGTTTCCCCACAGCCTCTCTAACAGAGTAAGTAGGTTGGGTTTTGCTAATCTGATAGGTAAAAATCATAAAGCTTTCAATTTTTCTTATTGGTGAGGTGGTGTTTTTCACATTTAAGGACCATTTGCATTTCTTTTCTGTGAGTTGTGATTGCTGTCCATTTGTCTACTGTTGGGGTTTTTTAATTTCTATTTTCAGAAGCTTTGATGCCCCTTTTCTATTATATGCTGCATATATTTCTTCCTAGTTTATCATTTCTTTTTACTTTGATCAGTGTTCATTTCCATGCAAATTAAAAAAAATTAGGCTTATCAACCTTTTCATTATTGCTTCTGGATCTGAATTAGGAAAAATTTTTTGCTCTCTGGTTATAAAGGAATTCACTCATGTTTTCTTCTAGCACTTGTGTGGTTCCTTAAAAACAAATTGCTTATCGACTTGAAATTTATCCTGGTGTGTGGTGTGAGGACAGGAGCTTCCCTATATTCATTCAGTTTTCTGATCAGAATAGGGTAAGGCAGATGCAGCCATGTGAAGCCTTAGTTACTTGGTGGGAGCCTGGAGGGCAGTTATTCCGAGATTCAGACTAAAGGGGGAAGTGTAGCCACAGATACAATCTTCTCAACTTATGAACTTCCGTGGTTTAGTTGAAACCCACCAACTTGTGGTTAAGAATGCAAAGTTTCTCAAAATTGTTTTTCGCAAACAGGTGATAGATGCCTCTAGATGAACACAGACAGACTTGGAAAAAACTCCCCCAAATTAACCCACATATGAGTAGAAGGGCTTCTGTATTTTGGATACCAATTCAGGCACAAGGCAAAGCTGACATGATTTTATGAATTGCAAACCTGCTCTGCATTCTGCACACCTGCCGTTCTACCTCGGAAGGAGTGGACCGGAGGGCTGTTTCCAGTGGGGGACGCCAGTTTTGGTTTTGTTTTTTAAGAAGCCAATATGGATGTTCTGAGGGGTGAGTAGTGAGTTCAGAGGAAGAATAGATTCACAAGCTCAAACATAATGTGATAATTGACAAATCTGAGGGATGGGACTTGGGGGTTCATTATTATTCTCTCTACTTCTATTTATGTATGAAATTTTCTTTTCTTTTTTTTTGTTTTAAGATTTATTTATTTATACAAGCACTGGGTACATTCAGAAGCGTGGGAGGGTGAGAGAATTCGCCAGAGCCAGAGCGGGGAGCAGAGCAGGCAGAAGGACCGAAGTACACTGCTGAGGGGAGCAGTGGGAGGCAGGAGAGGTCTGTGTGCCACGTGGGACCCTCTCCGGCGGCCAGGGATCAAACTGGCGCTGCAGAGGCTGCGGGCAGCTTCGCAGACCAGCGCTCAACCACTGCGCCACCGGGTAGGCCCTGTATGAAATTTTCTACTACAAAATGTTAAATGAGAGAATTCGTGTCATACTCACATACGCACAGAGAACTTGGCTATAATATTTGGTATCTGATTACAGATACTCTTCTGAGATTTCTACATTATCCTTGAATCAGATTAATCAAAAGCAGAAAGCTGTATCTTGAATGGGCCTCTTTACCTTAATTCCCTGTACGAAGTCTTGACTGGGTTCGCTTTCATCCTTTGCTTTTATTGCTGTTGACTGTAAAAGATGGCCTTAAAGAGAATATTTCTTCATCTTACACACAATTATTGAGAGAAATTAATTACCTCATATTCTTAGAGATATATTCTTAGAATCGCAGGTTTGATCTGATTCAACCACTGTCTTTTTCAACAAGAGTCCTCCACAAGTGGTATTACATACTTCTACCAAGAGTCACGTTGACCAGTTATTTATTAATATTTGCGATGTAGTCTTGATGGTCCTTGCCTATGCTTACCTCAGTGGGTGTTTGCAAAATAATGATATTCAAATCGTGTCCTCATTTCAGTTGTTAGCTGGGAGATATCTGTAAGAGAACCTTTTCCTTGTGACCCTAGAGTTCCTCTCCATGCCTCCTGGCAGACATGATTTACATGAGAGAAACTACCACCTGCTGTTGCCTTCCTCAACTTCAGGAAAACTTGAGTAAGCTCAGAGAGCTTCTGCAATGGAGACTATGGCATTTGGATAGAGAAGTTGGCATGAATTTATGTGAATGTGCTCAAAGGGAATATAGGAGCATATGAATTTATAGGGCGATTTTAACCTATTTGAACATTAGCGAATTTTCCCTAGGAACAATGTTAGTTTTGGTATAAATTCTTGAGAGCTTTTAGTGTGTTCTTAAACAGAGTTGGTGTATACTAAGGGCCTTTTCCGGTGGGTGGTGGTGAAGCCAGTGCAAAGTCAAGCAAGTAGTCAGTGAAATGGTGTGGCCAGGCTGTCCAGGACAGAGGCTTTGACAAGGACATTCCAAGCCATCAGGAGCAGTGTGCACTGTGCCAAAGATCTTGAGTCAGCACAGCTGAGTTCAAATCCTGGCTCCCTAATCTGCCAACTGTGAGATATCAAAAGATAGCTGACTTCTCAGTTCCTCAACTGCATGTGGTTTTAGAGGTTGTGACCTGCCTTTCAGACTTGTACACGTTAGAGGGAACATGAGCCAAAACACTTTGCCCAGTGCCTGACAAAGAGACATTAGTTCAATAAAGATCATCAAAGTAACTAAATCATGAGCATACACAGTTAAACAAGAATAGTGGCCCTTCCCTTAATCCAAAAGACGAATCCTAGGGGTCACAAAATGACTTCTGGAGCAGGTGGGTAAGTTACATTTGAAAACCGTGCAAGATTCCTGCTGGGAAAAGTTACAGGTTCTACCAAATATGCAGACAGTGCCGTAGGGTTTTAAAATTAGGGCAATACTCCAGGAGTTACCAACAGAAATCATAATCACAACAGAAACCACATCATCCTTCCAGAAGTTATTTTGTGAGGAATGAACAAACTGTGTTCATTATGGTATCTAAGGGCTCATGTCATGGTTTTTCACAGATGCCTGCTATATTTTAGCTTTATAGAAACTTATATGTGGATTTGAACTTTCTGTGGCTTCATTTGTATTCAGTTTGGTGTTTTAATAAGACTAGGTTTTTAATTTTAGTTTTCTAGCAGCCTCTGTGGTACTGCGAGATAAGGGAAGCCGCGACCTAGTTGCTTAGGCTGTGACAGCTGAGGCTAATTACTGCTGGCTTCTGAGTGTGGGTGGGAAGGAGATAGGAAGATACTCTTAGTGCAAGTGGAATAGAGTTGAGAGGGCCTTTTGAAAAGTCACTAATGGGCCACTGATTTTATGACCATGGGCAGAGTTGGGAGTGTGGTGTTGAGGGTCACATCTGAGATTTCCAAATCCATCTTGGTGAGAAATATCTAAGTCAAAGAATAGCATTGGAATTGAGGTTCAGATCCCAATTTACCAGCCTCCAAAGTCTTAAACCTTCTGCCTTAAAGTGTGGCAGACTGATTTATTAGGGAGCTGAGTAACGATGAGGAGAAATAAATTCTCCTGTCTGTGTCAGGTTCAAGGAAAAGAGCCACTGACGCTGAGACCCAACTTGGCTCTCTAGTAATTTCCTCTACATTCCTTTGCTTCGTGACCCAAAAAGAAAAGGACTAAAGGGCCTGTATTTCAAACACAGGATAAAATTAATTCTCAAAGTGCTAGGTTCTAGACCTAGACGAACATGAAAGTCCAGGTGAAGGTCAGCAAGTCAGCACAGTGCTGGGAGACACATGACTCCCTAGTAAGGAGAGAACCGCTCAGCCACTGAGGGGCGGGTGTATTTCAGAAAACTCAGAGTCAGGGATAATTCACTTATTGCTGGGGGCAAGGTGCGCCTGGCTTCTGTGTGACTCTTTGAACACTTGTTAGTGAGCCTGGCTCAGCTGAGCTGAGCAATACTAAGGCTAACCACTTCCTTATAGCCCTGGGAGAGGGTGTTCTTCCTCCAAACTAGCTGAAAGAGAGCAACGGGATACAGCGGGCCAGGTACTGCCATTGCTCCTGAACATGGGAGGTCAGGAGAATATCTAAGAGATTTGGGTAGAAAAGAGATATGGGATGAAGCAGTTATCGGTTGTGGAAATGACACCAGGGCAGATTTCTCAGGTGGGGCAGATTCCCAGGGAATAACTCAGAACACATGGCAGGGGAGGGCCGCCTGGTGGGAGTGTTATTAGGCTGGGAGTCTTGATATTTTGGCTGGGGATCTGGGAGCTGATAGCTGCGCGGTGGAGAGGACGCGAGTGGCCGGCTGAATTCTGGAATTTAGTGGAAGGTAGCTAGTAAGTACTTCGCTTTATTATGATTTTTAAAAATCAGACCCACAGTCAAATCTTGGAGAATCTGTTTTTATCTTCTTTGTTACTCAGTTTCTTTATTTGTAAAATATTAATACCAATAATGACGTTTCCGGGTTGTTGTGAAGATGATGAGTTCATAGAGTGAGAATTAGAAAGGTGTCTGCAAAGGCTGGGCTGTAGACCAGGCTGCTCAACTTCAGCTGTGTGTTGAGCAAAGAGGACTTCAAAACTTGGCAGTTCAGGCTCAAAGACCAATCAAATCAGAATCCCTATGATTCTACACAGCCAGGGTTGAGGACCTCTCTACTAAAAAGTTACTATTTGTGTTCAGAAAACACCTTCAGGGGATGGAAAAGAGGGGTGGTTTTGGGTAAGCTTCTAGTCATCCTGTTGGTTTGCTCTTGTATTAAGTGGTAAATTAAGGTACAACCACCTGTTTTATAAATGCGTTTGCATCTAATCCTGGCTCTAGGTTATTTCCTTTGTTTCTCATGTTGGGGGAGCAAAATTGTGAAGATCCAGGAGTAAAAACAGTCCCCCTGGGCCTTGCCTTGGTGAGGTGCTAGCCAAGCCAGCCAGACTTAAACCAGGGGCAGGTGGGTAAGTGGAAGGGCAGCAATTTAATTAAGCCTGCTCTGCTGCCCCACCCACCCACCCTTTATGAGGGGGAGCCGGTGTTGCCTGAGCCCTCTTTGGTAAATCCAGAGACTCTCTCCTGATTTGAGTCTTTTTTTTTCTCCTCTTTCCTTGGCATTGTTGGTTTATGATGGGAAATGAAGAGGTTCGCTGGCGTGAGATTGTAGTTTCTGTGTTTTCTCATCTAGCAACTTGAAAATTCCAGGTCTTTTAAGGTAACACAGTTTTTCCAGAAAATTTCCTGGGTTGTTACTGATATTTACTGATCCCCTAGTGTCCAATTCATAGTCTTCTGAGGCAAGGTAGGTGAATCCCAGGCTTAGACATTGCTTGTCTTCTATCTGCTACCAGGTTGGGAGTTATTAGACAACCGCAGCACAGTATTTGCCTGAGCTTTGATGACTACCAGGCAAACACGAAAGGGTGATGTTCCAGTAGGAGCAGTTTAGAAGAAATTAAAACAGGTTAATTTTGGATATGTTGAGTTTGTTATCCATATGGAATATATGGGTGGAATTGTAGAAATAAGTGTGTGGGTATAAAAGACTGAACCCTAAACTAAGGGGGCAATCTGAGGTGGAGAGAGACTTAAAACTTTGGCATGTAGGTAGGACCACATCCAATCTACTAGCGGAGAAACAAGGCAGGATAACTTGGGTTTGAGTCAAGGAGTCTGAGGAACCTACAAATGGGACTTTGAGGGACTGGCTTGAGAGGTAGAAGAAAAACCAGGAGGGCGTATTGATGAGGTAACCAAGGATAAAAATCAATTCAGGGGAGAGCTATTGATGGTACCAAATGATGTGAAAAGTCTGATGAAGAGCAGACTGAGGAGCATGTCTCTGACAATCATGAGGAGTTGGTGAGCGTGGTTTCAGAATGCTGGAAGCCAGTTGCAACAGTGAACAGTGAACTGATGTGAGCAAAAGCACATGTTGCTGGAACTTGGCGATATTTAGAGGGAGGTCTCAGAAAGCCAACAAGATTATTATAATTTCAAGAAAATTTAAACTCAAGTGAAAAGGGAAGTTGACTGTGAGAAAATATCAGAGAGGAGCAGGCTTATGCCTGCCAGTTCCAGTGTGTGTATACAATGTTCAAACCAACTGCATTGTTGCCTGAGACATTCCTGAAGAAATGGATCCCAAATGTGGGGAGAAATTAATCCCAAGTGCAGACCTTGCTAAAGAATACATACTGACAGACAAATCACAGCATCCCTGAGCTGATGTTTCTCACAGATGTATCCAGGTGATCACCTGCATCAGAAATCCAGAGTGCTTTGAAAACCTTGATGTCTGGGCTGCATCTCAGATCTACTGAACCACATGAAGGAACTCTTGGTGTGAGGCCCAGGTTTAAGAAATTGTCCAGGTTAGCGAGCTCAAGAAAACCTTTCTCCAATGCATGGCTGAGGCTGTGAATACTTACCAAACATTCCATTCACAGATGCTCTGGCAGCTTCTTGATAAGGATAATTAGGCTGGATTAAGCGACTCATCTACTGGGCCATTAACCTAAACTGTCTTTTTTGAATATTTTAGGAAAAGCACAAGGTGGCTCTCAGTCAAGATTTCACAACAGCATTATGTGTGGTTCAGTGTTTCTTACTTGGAACTAGCAATTTAATTAGTTATTTAAGCTTTATATCCTTTACTATTCCCTAAACTGTGCTAGTGTGGGAATTTGTCCTCCCTCCCCCAACATCAACAAAAACCAAACTCAAGCAAATCCAGAGACATGTAGAATAGCTTCATAAAATTAGAAGCTGTTTTGCTTAAATTTAGCAGAAAACAGTCACTGAAAGAAATGAGGGGAAAATTCTACTTCAGCCTAAAACATGTTTTTATTCCACTAAATGATTGGGAATAAAAGATGTGAAATGCACTAAATGATTGTGGAATAAAAGATGTGAAAGATTGATTTGAGAGGATGCAAAATAATCCCCTACCTGATGGGATCCCTTTGGATGGGTCCCCATCAGCCAAGGTTGAGCCAACATGAAACCTCACCTATTTGGAATTATTGATTAAAATTAAAGGAATTCAATTCTGAAAAGTATTTACTCTGTGCCAATGGCAGACAATGTTTCTGACATCATTACATTAACAAGAACAGAACAGATATTAAATAAGTAATTAAAAAATAATATATCCTCTGGTTAAGTAAGTCTTGTATGTTGACAGACTTATGATAAAATGTTTTCAAATACATTTGTGTTACATTAATATGTAACACAAACTACATCTTAAAATGCAAGTGTGTGATAAATGGAATACTTAGCACTCATAAATTTCATTTGCTTTAATTTTTAATATATTTAAAAAATTTTTACATCATTGTTCATTTTTAAACAATATTTGCTTCCCCCCACCCACTCAGGTTTAGTCCCCATATAGAGTTTCCTTCACCAATGCACCCGTGCACCATCACCTCAGTCCCCTGTGCCCCTCCCTCCCTCTGATCCCTCTCCTGCCTCCTCCCCTGCAGTAAGTCTCTGATTTATAATTGACGTTTTTGCTTTGTTGTGTTTTGTACTGTTACTATTTTTTTTTACACTGATGTCTTATTGGGTTCCCCTATATTCCTGCTATAAGTGAAACCATCTGATATTTTTTTTTTCTTCCTGGCTTATTTCAGTGAGCACAATTCCTTCTAGTTCCACCCATGTTGCTGTGAATGGCATGAGTTTATCTTTTTTGATTGCTGGGTAATATTCCATTGTGTATATGTGCCACATCTTGACCCAGTCATCTATTTTTGGGCATTTGGGTTGTTTCCAGGTTTTATCTACTGTAAATAGTGCTACAATAAACATAGGTATACAGGTGTTCTTTAGAAATATTAGAAATGTAACATGCTTTAAATTTTAAGGATTTTTCCAAATTCCCCCAAAGTTTTTGTCTGGGAGGCTCTGCAAGTTCTATACCTTGCTAACTAGCATTGTTCATAATTTAAACATATTTTCTAGGGCTAATGTTAGAGGAATAGTTAAATGTTATAAAGTCTTAAATTGGTTTACCAAGAAGCTATTATCTGATTTATGCAAATTCTTAAAATTATTCACTTGTTTCTATTACATGATAATGTATATCTTCTTCGTTCTGATAAAGGAAATCAGTAACTTAATCAACTAAAGTTTCCTCTTTATCCCTATTACTACTTTGTCAGTATGAACCTATCAGACTAGCAATGTCTCATTTTTACCTGAAGATGATGGATCCCTTAAGTGCAGTAGTGTTTACCTTGGAGCACAGGGGGGTGCAGGCTCTTAATCTTCAGATTTAACTGGAAGAATAAATAATGAAATGCATAGCTCTCAGAACTATGTTAACCTGTTTTCCTGGAGAGCATAGAAAAAGATTTTATAATTCAGAGATGTGATCATCTTTTAGTTTCTCTGATGGAGGCTTTGTACTTTTTAGAGTTTAATCTGATTCTCTAACTTGGAGACTAATGCTGAGATGTAGCATAAAATGTACAGGAAGGTCCATTTCAGGACTTGGCCACCTCCTAACAGTCATGGACTAACACAGGGGCATTTCTTCCTTTGCATTTTTTTTTTTTAATTTTTTTTTATAGAGGCATGTTTATTTCTTTATTTATTTGTTTTGTTTGTTTGTTCTGTTTACACATGCACTGGGTACAGTCAGAAGCGCGGGAGGGTGAGAGAATTCACCAGAGCCAGAGCGGGGAGCAGAGCAGGCAGAAGGAGCGAAGTACACTGCTGAGGGGAGCAGCGGGCGGCAGGAGAGGTCTGCGCGCCATGTGGGACCCTCCTCAGGTGGCCGGGGAGCAGCCGGGGATCGAACCGGCGCCGCAGAGGCCGCGGGCAGCTTCGTAACCCAGCGCTCAACCGCTGTGCCACCGGGGAGACCCTCTTCCTTTGCATTTTTTATTGCTCATATGGAGCCAGATGGCAAACATTCTGATAGATTCTATAGGTGTGGTGAATACATTGTTTTGAATGAGGCAGACCAAGGTTGGAGTCCTGCTTGTGTAATCATAAATCTGTGTCACTTGGGCAAGAGCTAAAACCTCACTGTGCCTCTGTCTCCTCTTCATAAGATGGACCCTACTTCATGGCCATGTTGTAAAGATTAAACAAAAATCATTTTTTGTAATTCAAATATAATAGGCACAGCATTATATTAATTCAGGGGTACTACATAGTGATTTGACATTTGTATATAGTGCAGAACAATAGCAGTAAGGTTATTTCTGCTTTGTTCTTAGCAATTTTTCAAATTTCAATACTATATTGCCTACTAATCCCATGTGGTGTACTACATCCCTAGGACTTATTTACTTCCTAATTGGAAATGTGTACATCTTGATCACCTTTATCCGTTTTGCCTATCTCCCCAATAACCCTCCCCTCTGACAACCATCAGCTTGTTCTCTGTATCTATGAGTTGGTTTAAAAAATTTTTTTTAGCATTTTAGATTCCATGTATAAATGAAATTAAATGGCATTTGTGTATCTCTGTTTGACTTATTTCACTTAGCATGCCAAAAATGTCCATCTATATTGTCACAGATGGCAAGATTACACTTTTTTATGACTGCATAGTATTCGTGTGTGTGTCACATCTTCATTCATTCATCTGTTGATGGACACTTAGGTTGTTATCTTGGTTGTTATAAATAATGATGCAGTAAACATAGGGGTGTGTATATCTTTTGAAATGAGTGTTTTGTTTTTGCATAAATAACCAGAAGTGGAATTTCTGAATCAAATACGGTGGTTCTATTTTTAATTTTTGGTGGATCCTCCATATTTTCCATAATTGTTGTACTAATTTTCATTCCCACCTACAACACATTCTTTTTTTTTTTTTTTTTCTTTTCTTTTTTTTTTTTTTCCCCGCTTCCCCGCGCGGGCCCGGCCGGCTCCTCCTCCGACCCCGGTAATACGAACCGCCGGCGGCCCGCCCCACCTACAACACATTCTGACCAACACTTGTTATTTCTTGTTTTGATGCTAGGCATTCGACAGGTGTCAGGTGATAACTCACTGTGTTTTTGATTGGCATTTCCCTGTTGATTAGTGATGGCCTTCTTCATTGATTAGTATTTCTTTTTGGGAAAAACATCTGTTAAGATCCTTTGCCCATTTGTTAACAAACCAGATTGCTTGTTCATGTTATTGAGTTGTGTAAGTTCTTTATATTTATTGGATATATGATTTGCAAATATATCTCCTAGTTAGGGA